GTCCATATACAAAAGGTTGTCCAGGTCAAGCCCCTCGAAAGTGTTTGGCTGTTCACTCCATTTGAACCTGGCTGCCGCTTCATGCATGCAAGTCTCCGCCAGAAAACTAAAGAAGGCAGGGGATTCGATAGCCCCTTGTTTTATGCCGCCCCGCATGTCAATAAGCGAGCTGTCCCAGCCTGTTTGCAGGATTGCATCTGTGTTTCTCAGCAAGTTGTACCAGCACCTAAACTCTGGCGTCATGCCCATTCTCTGCCTTAGTCGGTCTGCAAGAACTCGCCTGTCAACCTTGTCGAAAGCCTTGGCCAAGTCTACCTTAAGCCAGCAGGTCCCTCGTTTCCACTCCTGTTCTAACTGCATCAAGCGAGACACTGTGAAGAGAAAGTCGCTGCATTGTCGCCCTTTGCCACTGCACTGCTCTGGTCCTCTGAGTCTCAACATGGGTTCCGACCGGGTCAAGAGCATACGTGTAAAGACCTTGGCAGCAGCGCTGCCCATGGCCAGTGGCCGAAGTTCCCCTGGCTCAGTGGGGTAAGTCACTTTGGGGATTACGATCATAACCGCTCTGTTCCAGTCCTTGGGTATGTTTGCAGTGCACAAGATTCCGTTGTAGAACTCAAGCAGGTGCGTCATCCCGCCTTCCGTTGCACACACCCCTCGGAGTAGTTCCAAGCTCGTTTGATCAGCCCCAACTGCCTTACCAGCGCGCCCTGCCGCGAGAGCTGACTGAAGCTCATCCACTGTAAAAGCTGACACCTCGCCTTGCCATTGTGGAAGTTCTGGAAGCGGGGCTCCAGTCTGGTAGATGTTTTGGAGGTGGTTATGTATGGACTTGTGTGCTTCTCCTTCGGCCTGGTTCTCCGCATAATGTGTATCCCACCCTGTGTTCTTAGTGGCCCTTAATTTCCGAACTTGCTCCCAATCTCCCGTCATGGCCTCGTTGATACGTTGGGTCTCCCATTCCTTCCGGGCCTGCTTTCTCTGCTTGTGCACCTCCTTCCACGAAGCCCCAGTGCGGTTGAGCCTAGCAGTTCTGATGGCTTCTTTGACTGACGGCGGGTCCCTGTAGCTCCTTCCCGGCTTGGGCTTTGTGCACGTCTTCGCCATCACTCGCAGCGTCTGCTGGTCAATCTTGTTTATGACAGCCGGACCTCCAACCCAAACCCTCGGTCTGGTGTTATGCAACGAACGCTCTCTCTCTGAAGCTATGTGAACCTCACATTGGATCATGTCATGGTCCGTCCCGAGGGCCTTGGAAGTATCTGAGTGGATCCTGAGACGGGATGCAGATATACCTTTGACCGCGATGCAGTCAATTTGTCGACCCTGCCGCCCGTCCTGTCTTGGCCTGCTTGTCGGCGTGCTAAACTGGTCTGGTCGGGGCGCTACCAACTGGAGCTCGCGCCCCGCAACTGCTTCAAGGAAACCAACAGTTTTACCATCCCTCCCTACTGGCTGGGCACTGCCGTCATCGTTCGCCTCCCACCTGATGGGGGCATTGATATCCGCTGCGAAGACGATGGGAAGGTCAGTTGGCCTGAGTCGATGCAAATGCTCTTCGACCGCAGCCCTGTGCGTCGCCTGAGTGCATCCCGGGTCAAAGTGTGCGCTTCCCATCCACATCTCAACCCCGAAGACCACATGTCGCAGTCGAAGCCAACACCCTCTCTCCGAGGCAATTCTGCGCACTATTTTCCAGCTGGTTTCTCTGTAGATTATCCCGCTCCCTCGCCACCTAGCCTCTTGCCTGTGGCTGAGCATCGTCCATCCCCCAGAAGAATCAGTGTGCCACCCCGGTTCCCGGCGGGGCACCTCTTGCACAAGGTAAACAATGTGATCCGTCTCGGGCACATTCAAGTCGCGGAGCGCCTGTGGCACCGCAGCCTCGTCCACCCCTCCGATGTTCCACGATCTGATGTCAAGGGACCACAGAGCAGCAGGAGTGCTTGCGTTTGGCATGCAAGGTTCAGCCCCCAAGGTGTCCTCTGGTCAGCGGCGGCACTCATCGAGAGCTTGACTGATTTGTCTCACTGACAGCTGGGCTTCCCTCGCAATGGCCTCAACGTTAACCCAAGTCTTATGACCCTCCACTTCGTCCCGGATGAGCGCCTTCTCCTGGATGCCCGGTTCGCTCGGTCTGGTCGCCGACGCCACCGTGGCCATTCCCATCCAGCACGTGCCTGTGTTGTATTCCACATCCAGCATGGCGACCGTCTCCTGGCCGAATGTGGATAGAGCCCGTTTAACCCATCCAGCGTGTCCTGCCACCGCCCTTTCCGCCTTAGTCTTTGAGTACGTGGCAAACATGACCTTGCCCTGAGGAATGTTCACCGTGTTGCCCGCGAGCCCCATGATGACCGAGTGCATTCTTTTCCTCACCTGATAGTCACTCTCCCCGTCCCTGGGCGAAAAGACAGCCAACGCCGTGCTTCTCCTGGGTCCAGTACAAAAGGGTTCCGCGTCCAACTGGCCTCGGAGGCGCAGCCGTTCAAGGGCTTCTCCCAGCTGCTGCAAGATGACGTGTTTTCTTGTATCACGATTCCACCCGCCGAACACTAACGTGAATCGCCGGTCACCTTCGTACCCCACTGGTTGTCGTCCTCTGCCCTGCAGTAACTCGGCCATCTGGCTTTGAAGCTGTTCGACTTTCCCTTCGATGCCTGAAGTACGTTGTTCCGTCTCCTCTGCACGCTCTTCCACCTTTCGCAGCCTGTCATCGGTCTTGGCCTCAAACAAGGACATCATCCCTTCCAGGTTATCCCGCTGAGCCTGAAGGATCTTGGAGCTGTGCGCCTCGAGCAGACGCTCCATCTGGTTAAGGTCCAGTCCCACGGGCGCCTGAGCCTCCTGAAGCTCTCGTCTTTTGCCGCAAGGCCCCTCACTTGCCTCACCCGATCTCTTGGGCGAGCCAACCCCTGTCTCCATATGGGAATTCTCTTCCAAATCCTCGACCCCCTCCGGAATTTGCCTGGTGCGTGCTCGTTCGTCCCCCGCATCCCAGCTGCCCAAGGTGATCTTCTGCCCCCGCTTCCGGTCCGACATGCGTCTGGCAAGGCGCCCCTCTCTCCGTCCTCAAAGCCCTGAATCGTCCCCTTGCTGAACTCCCGGGCCTTGTGCTCCCGCCGAGATTGGGCGCCTTGCGGAGGATCGTCGCAGCCAAGCCGATGTGCGCCTTGCCCCGGTCGAGCGCCAACCCCCGGCGAACCACCCCTCGGAGCAAAGGGGGGGGGAAAACACCTCGGCCTTGAGCCGAGGGTTTAGGGTTTAGGGTTTAGGGTTTAGGGTTTAGGGTTTAGGGCTTTAGGTTTAGGGCTTATAGGGGTTTAGGGTTCGTGGGTGTAGGGGGGCTTTCCTTGAAGAGATCTCGAAGGGTTCCGTTCAGGGGTCCGTTAAGGGTTCCTTGTACGGGTTTCTAGAGGAGTTTCTATAAAGAGTTTCAAATGGGCTACAATAACTAAGGGTTTATAGGGTTCTCAGGGTTTCGATGGCCCCTTAAAAGGTTCTTTACAGGGTCCGAAATTTTCTAGACAGGCTACTATTCACGAATCTGTACGAGCTCCATAATGAAATTTAGTCTTCTCCCCTAAACCCTAAACGCTAAACCCTAACGGGGTAGATTGGAGTTTCCGTCCCAGGCTCTTGAAGGTGCTTTGGTACAGGGTTTAGGGAAGCCACCCTGTGAAGCTCAAACCAATGTAGCTCAAGGAGTTCCGTTTAGGGTTTAGGGGTTTAGGGTTTAGGGTTTCAAATTTAGGGGGTTTCCGGGTTTAGGAGTTTAGGGTTTAAGCCTGAACAAATACCTAAATTTACATAGGGCCACAGCCAGATTTTTGTTGTAAGACTTGCGGGTACGTGTTGATTTTGTTCGTGACGCTTTGCGTGCTTAGGATGCTTGGGGGTAGGGCTTGGGTTTGGCTGCACTATGCCCTAAACCCTAAACCCGGAACCCCAAACCCTAAACCCTAAACCCCTAAACCCTAAACCCTAAACCCCTATATAAACCCTAAACCAAGAGAACCTGCAGCTCCTCGGAATGAGACCAGGGGAGGCGCTTTGTGAAGCCCGGGGCCTACTGAATTTTGGGTCCTTACAGCCAGGATCCTACCACTTGAAGGCTTCTCTTCTCAAAGTTTAGGGTTTAGGGTTTAGGGTTTAGGGTTTAGGGTTTAGGGTTGACTTCTCACTGCTCCTCGTCGTCATCCTCATCGTTGCCACCGAAGTAGGTAGCGGGAACTTCATCCGGGAATGCCACCACAAACTTAGACTTGTCAGGCGTCTCAAACTTGTTGCCTCGTCGTTTATACCATGCGTCCTGTATTTTCTGAAAATCCCACGGTAAGCCATATACCGTATACCCTATACAGCCCTATACCCTAAACCCTGACCGACGGAAACGGGAATTTCTGTGTACAGCAGTGCAGAAAAACTCCCGGGAGAGGGCTGAACCTGTTGAGACGAGCTTTGCGTTATCTCGCCCGCATAACGGTTTAGGGTTTAGGGTTTAGGGCTGAGAGTCTATGGAGGGTTTAGGGTTTAGGGTTCTATCGAAGCTATGCCCTCAACATTCCTGAACCCTAGAACCTAAATCCCGAGCCCTTCAAGCAAAACCCAGACCGAGTACCCTGAACCCTAAATCCAAACTACCACCATCTGGACAACGCTATGAACATGCAACTACACACATGCCAAGCACCCGCAGTCAAAGCAGAAGCATTCTCGCAATGGCGACGGGTATATAGAAGTATCAATAAGAATGGTAGTGATCATAGTCGTCAGAAGAAGCGACAACACACAGATTCAGAACGACTAAGAGCAATGGTAAATGGACAGCGAAATGCTCATACAAACGATCATCATGACTATACGACTACTTAGAGCGCTACTACTAGTCACTAGTCGAAGCAATAATACAACTAAAGAATACCCTAAACCCTAAACCCTAAACCCCTAAACCCTAAGGAAAAGAACTGAGAAGCGAGAACAAGAAGACCCCGGCGAACCTCACCGAGACCACCTCTTTGGTGTCCTCCATCTCGATCGTCCATCGACCCTTGCGCCAGTCGCGTTACACGGAAAGGAGGGTTTAGGGTTTAGGGTTTAGGGTTTAGGGTTTAGGGTTTAGGGCAGGGACAACCTGTCAAAGGAAAGGGCTCGCTATGGTTTGGGCTGCGAGATCAAGGGTAAGGCTGTAAGGATAGCAAGCCCTGATCGAGGCTTCAATGAGTCATACCACGGTTGCTGATATGAATCCTGCATTACCAATAATAAGGAACCGACCATAATTCCCATTAAGGTAATCCAGGATGTACATCATCAGCCGTATAAATCCTTTTTTGGCCTGAGACCCTACATGTGTAAGGCGTTCGAGCTTTCGAGCTACTTGAATTTTGAGCCTTGCTTGGGTTGATGCTAAGCCCTAAACCCTATCTAGCACTTCGAGTTGTAGGGTTTCGATCGGTGTAGGGTTTGGGGGTTTAAGGTTTAGGGGTTTAGGGTTTCGATCGGCTTAGATTTAGTGAGGCGGAGTATAAGGATTAAATGTTTGCTCGAGGGATTCGCTCCTAGGCACACTTCGTAACGTCCTAGGATTTCAGGATGTTCGGAGCGCTGGGCATGCACGCAACGTAGCTACAACATGCCTATTTTGGACTACATCATAACTATAAAACAGATCTGCATTAGAACTACAACATAAGTATGAAGTAGCTATAAACCCTAAACCCTCAACCCTAAACCCCTAAACCCTAAACCATAAACCCTAAACCCCTAAACCCTAAACCCCTAAACCCCTAAGCCCTAAATCCTAAGACCTAAACCTTTTAACTAACACCACCATATTAAGATGTCGAGCTTCGACAGGCTGAAGAGCCAAGGAAGCCAGGGCTGGGGTTCTTCCCCTTGGCATCAAAATAGCCCGCAAGCCTGCAATAATAGGTTCTTTGGGCTCAAAAGTCTAAAAATGTGCGTCCTTAGGGGGTAAGGGTTCTCTTTCAGCCGCAAGCTTCGGGTCTTAGACTTCGGGCTTAGGGGTTTAGGGTTTAGGGGCTTAGAGTTAGGGCTTTGGGTCGTAGACTTAGGACTTAGGGTTTAGGGGTTTAGGGGTTTAGGGTTTAGGGTTTAGGGGCTATAGACAGGGTGTTGGGGGTTTTGGGGTTGAGGGGTTCAGAGTTAGGGTTTACGGGTTTAGGGTTTAGGGGCTTCGAGTTAGGGTTTTGGGGTTAGGGTTTAGGGGGGGCAGAATTAGGGTTTAGGGTGATGGCGTTTCTGTTGAAGTCTTGGGGTGGGAATAAAACCCTCCCAGACCTGAACTTGTTTCGTAACCCATACAGTGTTATGCATGTATATACAGATAGATAGATAGATAGATAGATAGATAGATAGTTAGACAGATAGATAGATAGATAGATAGATAGATAGATATTTTATACTTATACTTATACTGTATTTAGATTTAATGTAGTATACTTACTAATGCAGGAGGTCCCTCTTTGTCTCAGCAGAAGGCTGCTGAAACGACCACGGGAACACTCCCTAGGTTCGGTCCAAAATTCTTCCCCTCCTCACAGTCTCGGAAACGATTTGGGGTTTCGGGTTTTGGGTTTACCAAGAAAGCCTGATTGGAACGAGGCAGGTCTGAACCGAGGAAGACGGCGATATAAAGGCTACAAAACACAGGATGCCGAGGACAGCTTGCAGAAAACACTGCCACCACCGATGGGTTTGTCACCCACCAGAGAGCATGGAGGCCGGAAATACCACAATCAGAAGATGCTTCGTACGCATGACTGGCATGTCGCGGCCACTCTGGAACATCGATTTGACATCGAGGACGGGCTTCGTGAGAAGCAATGCTGATTCTGACGGTCCTGGAAGCTCCTTACCCAGAGACTCCAATACCCCTTTATTAAGGAATATACTGAATATACCTTAAATTATAGTAGGATCCCTAATATGATTTAAAGTATATTCCTTAATTAAGGGGTATTGGAGTCTCTGGGTAACACTCCGAATTCCGACACCCTAAATCCTAAACCCTGAACTGCATAGGCTTGCCCACACCTTCCGACACCAAGGATCAAGGGACTTAGTAGATCATCATTGGGATTCCAATATCTGGAAGCTTCTTACTACCATAGCTCTACCACACTTACTAATTACGTCTCACCTAAGCAGAACAGATCATCAAGCTTGCTAAGTTTTACGGTCATATTTGTATCAAAAGCTGATGCAGTCTTACGGACATAGAGATATCAAACTTACTGTAGGGGCCCTAATAATGAGAACAGGGTTGTGGTCGATTCTCGAACCCTTAGTGAGCCGTTGAGGGAGCCTGAAAAACCCCAGCAAAACTTGACAGAAGCCCTCAACAACTTTTAGAGTGCTCTTAAATCTAACCCTCCAAGCCCGAAGCCCCAAACCCTGAACCCTAAACCCCTGAACCCTAATAAACCCTAATACACCCTAATAAACCCTAAACCCTAAACCCCTGAACCCTAAACTGGAAGGCCTTGTCTGCGAGAAACTCCTTCGTGATGCCCACGCGCTCGTTGAGTTTCCTGTGCTAGGAAGAGACCCCCTGGGCTCGAAGTCATGGCTTAGGGTTTAGGGTTTAGGGTTTAGGGTTTAGGGTTTAGGGTTTTAGGGTTTAGGGTGCATTGCATATTATACCCTAACCCCTAAACCCTAAACCCATATTATACCCTTAGTTATGGTAGTAACCTGCTGTTTAAGTAACTGGAACCCTAGCAAATGACATGTCGACCCCGGTAAGCGAAGGCTTGCGGTTTCATTGTCATGTAAGGGTTTAGGGATTAGGATTTAGGGCTTTAGGTTTTGGGTCTAGGGCCTAGGGTTTAAGGAAACTTCTTGGCTGCAAGAGAGTTTAGTTCACGGCGTCTTACAAGCGGTTTTTGTGGGTTTCATAGGAATCTTTAACAGGACGGCGCAGATTGAACTTCTGGGCTTCAGAGGGTACGTTAGGGTTTAGGGTTTAGAACAGATAAACTCTGCGGCTGTTTCGAGTTTGATGAGGGGGTTCCTCAAAGGGTGTTGTAGGCGCTATAAGAAGACTTTGTAAGGGGTCCTTGGAAGGGAGTATTATGAGGGCTCCTTACAAGGGTGCTGAATGCTGAAGCCTTCTGCAGGAGCAGATAGAGGGTATTGTCCCGATCAGATCGTACACCTCGAACGCCTGTAGCCACGGTGTTAGTATGCATTGGTATCTCTGACATTTGGAATGCTTTTGCGCTACATTGTTTTCGGCCGATTCTCATTTGTTAATACACATCGAGGACTCAACAAAGGTAGATTGGAGTCCCTGGGTGTGGGGAAAGTGCGAAGGCTTGGACCATCGCTACGATCACCGCCAGAAGCCGAGATCCACCAGTGCCCATTTGCCTCCCCAACGGTTTCCCAGAGACTCCAATGTCCCTTGATTAAGGAATATACCTTAAATTATGGTAGGATCCCTAATATGATTTAAAGTATATTCCTTAATCAAGGGGTATTGGGGCCTCTGGGTTGGCTTCTGGTCTAAACCAGACCAGATGCTTGCCTGGCTCACTTTCTTGGTCTAATTTATTGCAAACTAGGGTTTAGGGTTTAGGGTTTAGGGTTTAGGTCGCCCGATCAGGAGGCGGCACACGCACGCATGCTCTCGTCAGCTTGTCCAGCCCGGCTTCTTTCTGGAGGTGGTAGTCGCAACAACCGCGCCCGCGCCTCACCACCGGCCGGAGCAGGCACTGCTCCAAGGCGAACACACCGTGTTGGCTTTTGCTTGGGTTGGGCCGGTGCCAACATAGGTGCTGGTGGTGGGAAAAGCGGGGGTGTGGGTTCTCAAGTTTTGTTTGCCAGCTGTGGTTGGTGGCTGTGCAGGCTCTGGCAGTGGTGTGGGTTGCGACGGTGGCAGTGTTGGTGCTGGGACGGTGGCCGGGTCGTGTGGTGATGGGATCGGTGGGGGTACGACGACTGGGGCTTTTGGTGGTGGTTGTGCTGGTTCTCGGGTGTTGGGGGTGGGTGTGCTGGCTTCAAGTACTGGCAGATAGCACAGCCCTTCTGAAAGCTTCCTTGGAGCGTCCTCCACGGATGACTGGCTCCGCCACCTCCCGGAGCATGCCCATAATCATAAGGCCATCTATAAGGCTTCAGGGTGTAGGGGCCCATATGTGAGATGAGACCCAAAACCCAAACCAAGAAATTATCTAGGGCTCCACCCTAAACCCCAAACCCTAAACCGTTCTCCTATCGCTACGCCGAAGCCTCATACCTCAAAGCCTTGAGCTCCGTGGAAAACCCAGACGCGCCAAAACCAAAAACTCACCTTGAGGGCCCAGGTTTCGGAGCATGGGACTTTTTCTAAGGGTTTTGGGCTTTAGGGTTTTAGGGTTTAGGATCTTAGGGTTTTAGTGCTTTAGGGTTTAGGGTTTTAGGGATTTTAGGCTTTAGGGTTCAGGGTTTTAGGGTTTAGGGTTTAGGGAGCTACAAGTGTTTTTTGGTACTTGAACACTCTTGAACAAAGCTCCGCACTCTAAGCCCCCCATGCTGTAGGGGCCTTAATTCTTAGAATAGGGTTTTGGGGTACATTATACTTTAGTTAGAATAAGGAACCCTCAAAAATACCGTTGGTAATTATTCAGGCCCCTAATATTACCCTAAACCAATTCAAAATCGAAACCTTACGGTAAACCTTAAGCGAACCCTTGTAGTACTCCCAAACTCCAAAATCCCCTAATCTAGGATCCTTAACAATAAGAATAGGGTTTTGGGGCTCCTGTAAAGTACAGTTATAATAAGGAAAACCCGAGGCAAAAACCCTAAACCCTAAACCCAAAACCCTAAATTCTATATTACACGAAAGACAGTTGCCCGGGAGTCCTCCCCGCTTCTGACTCGAGGCCACTCACCTCTCCAGGCAAAACCCAGGGCCAAAGCCAGAGATTTGCAGGCTTTGAGGGCGTTGTCCAGGTATCTAGGGTTTAGGGCTTCGGATTTTAGGGTTTAGGGCTTACGGCTGAGGTTTAGGGTGTAGGTTTTAGGGTTTAGGGCTTAGCGCTTAGGGTTTAGGGCTTAGGGTTTGGGGTTTAGGGGTTGTAGGGTCTGAGTCTAAGTCTTACGGGCTTTACCAGGGTTCCTCTAAGGGTCGCAGGCTTCCAGGGGTTGTCAAGGTATGCAAGCAAAGGGGATTTAATTTAGGGTTTGGGGATATATTATATGATAAATATAATAAGGAACCCCCAAGATAGTGTAGGTAATTATTTAGGCCCCTATATCTTACCGGTCTTGCAAGGGCTGAGGGCTCAAGCCCTTGTAAGAACTACAATGTACCTTAAAACGGCAAGCAACACCTACAAGTCTACGAGTAACCAAGAAGCCCTCAAATCGTACCGTTTCAAGAAGCTTAAGTCTAGAAGCCATTGAAACAACACCTGAGAAAGGTAAGTTTTTTGGGGGCCCACACGTAGCCTCGACAATCCAAAGGCTCCAAGTACCCAGGTAGTAGGGTTTTAGGTGCCGAAAACCGTTGAACTATGGAATTTAGCACCTAAAGCCTGGACCCTCTGGGCAAGTAACCAAGAACCCTTTACCCCTAAATCCTGAACCGCAAACCCTAGCCTAAACCGCCTAAACCGCCTAAACCCTAAACCCTTAAACCCTTCATCCAATGGCACCCACTGGTTCAGGAGGTCGTCGTACACATAACCGACAGGGACGTCAAGCCGGTAAACGACAGGTCCTGGTATTCGACAGGAGAATCAGCAGCACTATCCTGAAGCTGGGTTCTCGTCTTCGAAACTGCCTGTCTTGTCGACAAAAAAACCATGTCACGACCTGATGTGGCATGTTTTTCAAATTCTCCGGGCGGAAAAAAACCCAGGGTGCCTGGGTCGTGTGGGGCGGCCAGAGCCAGAACCCACACCGTCAAGCATCTCACGATATGTGATCGTTTCCGGTCTAAGGTGCAATGGCACGGGCGGCAAAAGGCAATATAGGGGCCTTAATATTAGAATAAGGTTTTGGGGTCCATTATACTATTGCTATCATAAGGAACCTCCAAAACGGTGTGGGTAATCATTTAGGCTGCTACGTTGCATGACGACTTGTGGCTTAGGGTTTAGACGGTTTCGGGGGAAAGGCTTCAGGGTGCACGGTTTCGGGCCTTGGAGATTTAGGGAGGGTTTAGGGGTTTAGGGTTTAGGCTTCGGGTGTTTAGGGTTTAGGGGTTTAGGGTTTAGAACTTAAGGCAAGTTTCAAAAGCACTCAAACCTGCAACAACAAGCACCGTCCTCTGAGCCCTAAGCCCGACAAGCGACACCCTGAACCTCCAAACATTGAGCCCCAAGTGTCCCTAAACCCAAAACCCTATACCGTGTTTAGGGTTTGGGGTTTAGGTTTAGGGTTTAGGGTTTAGGGTTTAGGGTCTTATACCCTAAACCCTGAGCCCTAAGCCTCAAACCCTAAACCCTGAACATAGCCCCAAGGGGTAGATGTTTACACTTCGCGCGACCTTCACAGGGCGCGAAGCAGGGGGCTTTTGGGGGTGAAGCCTAAATCCTAGTTGAGAATCCCAAAGGCTCCATGTACCTTTGTAGTAGGTATTTAGGCCTTAAAGGGGTCCCTATATAGGTACTTTAAGGCCTAAGTATCTGGGTACATGGAGCCTAGGGAATAGTTAGGGTGGTTGGGGGGGCGGGGCTACATGCCTCTCTGCACGCTCTGCATTCCCAGATCTAAGGCAGCTTAGAGTTTAGGGTTTGGAGCCAGAAAGCCCAATACCCTTTCAAGGGTTCTGGGTTTAGGGCCTTAGGGTTTAGGGTTTAGGGCCAGAGAGCCCAAGAATTACACTCTAATTAGGGAATAATTGAATAGACCTTATAAGCATAATAAATATGACGCCCCTTATATCTTAACCCATATTCCTTAATTACGGGGTATGGGGCTC